AGGTAGTAGCCTTTAAAACTGAAATGTGAGTCCTTAGAAACTGCAGTTCCAGTATAAGCAAGAAATTGTAAGTACTAAAGTGTGCTTTATTGGGAGTCATGGAAAAGAAATGGGGTTATGTGGTAATTTGGAGAAATAAGAAAAGTGGAATCATAAAAACAAAAACAAAAACCTAGTGATCTGGGAACACGACCATGGAAAATAAGGAACTATTGATCTGCTTGAAAGGAAACTGAGCTCCAAACTGAGCAGAGCATGGTGGGATCAGAGAATATGGGATTATGAAGGAAAAGATTCTGGCCTAGTTCCCCAAATGGGTCAGCTCTTTGTTTTTGGCTTCTCGGATATAAGTTATGGTATACTATGTGGGTGTGTTTTGTTTAGAATAGGAACTGGGTGCACTAGATTACAGGGTGGTGCTGGTCACACTTGAGGGATGAGGATAGGGTGGGTCAAACCACGTGATCCAGAGTGGCAGCTTTGGGTGACTCCATATCAATCAAGCTGGAGAGCAAGCTCAACAGTGTGGGCAATTAATCAATCATCTGGCAATCACAGGTATGTAAGGAAACCTGTCAGTTCAAAGGGTAAGAAAGAGTTCATTCTGGATATGAATATTAGTGACCAAGGCTTGGAAACAGATTTAATTACCACCAAATCCACGTTCCAATGTGGTAACAATTTGATGAGGTTTTTATAATAATATACCAAAGCAAATCATACATGAGGACACTTTGAAAATACATTGGTGGAAACACAGAGTAGGTGGGTTGCAGCAAAGTAGAGAAAAGTGTTCTGGAGACCTTACACACTCTCTGACAGTATTCCTAGTCTTGTGCAAGGTGGGAATGAGGGTTTTCTCTAAAGATTTTTTTTAGCTGTTAGTCATAGAATATTAGGATCAACACAGAAGTGGCCAAGGGCTGGCTATTAAGGTAGTTAAGTGTAGGTAGCCCAAGATGAGTTGTAACTAGGCTCTGGACCTGCAACATTCCAATAGTTCCACACTTGTTGAAGTTCTAGACTTAGCAAGCCAAATCACCCAAGCTAGAGTCTTGGAGAGACTATAGCAGTTTTGCAACCAGTTTTAGGAAGACAAATCCTGTTTAACAGGGTCAGCATCTATGTAGTAAGGAAACAATGCACACATTTGTGAGTGAAGATAACAATAGGAAAGGAGATACATCAGAATAGGCATCAACTAAAAACAGAATGTGAAGGAAGACTGTGACAAGTTGCTGGTGAAAGCTCTCCCCAGGGGAGGTAGGGCTGATCTACTGCTCTCTGAACAAAAGAATCTGTTGCCCCTATTGCTACAGGAGGGATCATAATGATGAATCTTAAATATTTGGGGGGAGGAAATGACTTTCACTTGCTACCATGCATTGTGTAAACATAAGACATGATTGGAATAGGATGCCTACACTGCCTTTGTGACCAATGAGAAGGCTTTGGCTTCCAATACAGGTAAGTTTTGGGAAAGGGTCTGTCTAAAAGTGAAGAGTTCAGGAATTCAATTTTTTCTTTAGATCTTTTTCTCCTCACATAATTTGTGTTGTCTTGGGGAAAAGAAAACGTAATGCCATTTGTGTAAAAGAAAAGGAAATAGCTATTACATGTAAATGTCAAAATCAGCAGATCTGGTTGAGGCATGGTTAAAATATGGATGTAAATGGAAGATGTAATTTCATTTCTTCGTGATCCTCTCTGATTCCTCTACTTTTGTTTCATTGAGGAGGCTCATTTGTTCTCATGAGATGACTGTGGTTCTGAGGGAGTTTTTAGGTGTATGTCCAGGAGAAAGCAATTCTCTTCCCCTCAGCCCTTCTAGGTAAAACATAAAACACCAATGGCTCTATTGAAGTGAATGCTGCTTCCAACTCTGATACCTGTGACCAGGTGATTTCCATGTACAGGTTGCCAAGGTGTATGTTCTGCTTCTAACTATGGAGCCAACAGACTGAAGGCATAAGACTGAGGATTGAATTAGTTCACCAAAAATAATAAAAGGTAAAAAGAGTAATTGCTTTACTTATTTGTTTTTGTTGTTGCATGGATTTTTGTTGTTTGTTTGTTTGTTTTTTTACATAATTCCTTGCTATGTATCCCTGGTTAAACATGATGACCAAGGCAACTCATAGAAGAAACACTTTTGTGGGCTTTTGGTTCTGGAGGGACATCATGGAGAGGCAGGAAGCATGGTAGCTGTCACGGCAGTTGCAACATCAAGTAGACCACTCCTGTCTTAAACCACAAGCACAAAGCAGAGAACATGCTAACAGTAGGGTGAGGCCTTCATCTCTTAAAGCCCATCTTGGTGATACACTTCCTTTAAGAAGGCCACACCTCTTAAACTTAGCCCAACAATACCCACATCTACAGACCAGGTATTCAAATGCCTGAGACTATGGGGAGGGGAGGATGTATTTCTCAGTCAAATCACTTACACCTAGCTTAAGATTCTGGATGAGTGGATATTTAGACAGAAGTAAAAGATGCCCTGTCAATTATATTCTTGTATCATTAGGTCCGAAGTCAACCACTAGCAACATTCATTGCTAGGTGGTGGGATATTTCTGCTGTAAGTCAGAAGCTCACAGCAATGGTTCTCAACCTGTGGGTTGCAAAATTACCCTTTCACAGGGTTTGCATATAAGATATTACATTATGATTCATAAGAGTAACAAAATTACAATTATAAAGTAATAGTGAAATAATTTTATGGGTCACCACAACTTAAGGATCTTACTAAAGGGTCACAGCATTAGGAAGGCTGAGAACCATTCTTTTTTTATTTTTTTTAATTTAAATTAGAAACAAACTTGCTTGACATGTTAATCCCAGCTCCCTGGCTCTCCCCTCCTCCCCCACTCACCACCAGTGCCCCCAACTCCCTATCCTATCCTGCCTCTGCTCCCCAGGGATGGTGAGGCCTTTCATGTGGGATCTTCAAAGTCTGTCATATCATCCTAGACAGGACCTAGGCCCTCCCCCATTTGTCCAGGCTGAGAGAGCATCCCTCCATGTGGAATGGGCTCCCAAAGTCCATTTGAATGCCAGGAATAAATGCTGATCTACTAGTCAAGGCCTCATAGATTGCCAAGGCCTCCTCACTGACACCCACGTTCAGGGGGTCTGGATCAGTCCCATGCTGGCCTCTCAATCACCAGTTTGGGGTCTATGAGCTCCCCCTTGTTCAGGTCAGCTGTCTCTGTGGGTTTCACCTGCCGGGTCTTGACTTATTTGCTTATCACTCCTCCTTCTCTGCAACTGGGTTTCCAGGAGTTCGGTTCAGTGTTTAGCTGTGGGTGTCTGCCACCTGAAAGTTCTAGAACAAAAAGCAGCAAACTCACCCAGGAGGAGTAGATACCAGAAAATAATCAAAGTGAGAGCTGAAATCAATAAAGTAGAAACAAAGAAAACAATACAAAGAATCAATGAAACAAAGAGTTGGTTATTCGAGAAAATCAACAAGATAGACAAATCTTTATCCAACCTAACTAAAAGGCAGAGAAAGAATATGCAAATCAATGAAATCAGAAATGAAAAGGGGGACTAACAACAGACACTGGGGAAATCCAGAGAATCATCAGGTCATACTTTGAAAACCTGTACTCCTCAAAACTGGAAAATTTGAAGGAAATGGACGATTTTCTGGATAGATATCACTTACCAAAATTAAATCAAGAACAGATAAACAATTTAAATAGACCTAAAACCCCTAAAGAAATAGAAGCAGTCATCAAAAGTCTTCCAACCAAAAAAAGTCAGGGCCAGATGGTTTCAGTGCAGAATTCTACCAGAAATTCAAAGAAGAGCTAATACCAATAATCTTCAAATTGTTCCACACAATAGAATCAGAAGGATCATTGCCAAACTCTTTTTATGAGGCTACAATTACCTTAGTACCCAAACCACACAGAGATCCACTCTTTAACAGCCATCATCTTAATTACTACCAAATGGAAGGTCAATTAGTTTTGATCAGGACATACATCGTGTTTAAGGTGAGAGTTAGTTAAGCTGAACAGATCATCCTTCTGTAGGGTCAAGGCCAGTGATATGACCCTAAATTAAACAGTCAGTATCAAAACTGAGGGAAGAACTCTGATCTCACTTCCACCTTCCACACTCTTATTCCTTCTTTCTCTGGGTAAGAAACGTTCATAGCGTAACTCTCCTCATCTGTCTCTGGCATTTCACTCCTCCAACCATGGGAACTGTAACATTGTTGTCCTTTTATTTAAAACACCTTTTTACATTTTATATACCAATCCCAGCTCCCCCTCCCTACTCTCTACCTCCCCCCCCCTTTCCTTCCACATTTCCCCATAGCTCAATCCACTCCTCAGAGAGGGTGAGGCCTCCCATGGGGGAGTCAATAAAGTCTGTCACATAATGTTGAGGCAGGACCAAGGCTCTCCCCTCTGTATCGAGGTTGAGCAAGGTATCTCTCCACAAGGAATGGGCTCCAAAAATCCATTTCATGGACTAGGGATAAATACTGGTCCCATGCTAGTGGCCCCATAAACTGCCCAAGCCACACAGCTGTCACCCACATTCAGAGGACCTAGTTCGGTTCTATGCAAGTTCCTCAGCTGCTATTCCAGAGTCGGTAAGCTCCCACTAGCTTGGGTCAGCTGTTTCGGTGGGTTTTCCCCATCATGGTCTTGACCCCTTAGCTTATATTTTCTCTCTGGGCCAAGCTCCCAGAGTCCAGTCTAAGAGAGGGAGGAGTGATTTAGAGATTTGGAAGGCTAGCACTATGCCTGGGTAGCCACATGACCTCCTGCTCTAACTTTCATGAGAAGGATGTTTTCACTTTCTCTGGCTTTAAGTGAAGCTAGTAGCACAAAGCTTGCCTGACACGGACCCGGTAAGTGTCATTCAAAGTAGCAGTCTCACTGGACTGACAGAGTATACATCTCTCCACATGGAAGCTGACTTTTAACTATGGGTTTACAGAAACGAATAGCAATCATTTCATTTATTAAGGTGTTTATTTGCAACAAGTATGGCATTTTTTCCATTATTTGGATTCCTTCATTTGTTTTCCATTTGGCTTGAAATTTGGATAGGACACAAGCATGCATATACTATGCAAGTTAAATGCCTCAAATTTGCAAAGAAATAATTTCTAGAATGAAGTAATGAAAAGAACAAACAAGTGAAGGTGTTCAGTTTGCTGCTAGGTACACTTTCCATATTTGACAAACTCGATACGAGAACCAAATTCCCTAAAGAAAAGAGACAGTTAGTTCTTTAAAGAAAGTGGACGTTACTCTTAAACGTGTTTTCACTACTTTCTAAATGAAGTCCTAATGTAGGGGATGTTTCTACAATTCCATGAGTGGCCATCTTCTCCATTCTTGTTGCCATGTCATATTTTATACATGCTTGATCTATGTGTTGGTTGCACAAAATGTGTCTTGAAAATTTTCAGCGTTATTGTTTTGTATCTTGATACATTATACTGTAAATCAAATATACTATATTTTGTTTTGAACTTACCACCGATCAATACAAAAGAAGCATTCATTCTTGTATGTTAAGCCATTTGTAGCACAAACAAATGCTACCACATCTGGACAGTTTGCTTCATATGAAGGATCTATTGGGTAATACATTTTGCATGGGGGCTGGAAACATAAACATAACAGGAATAAGAGTATTTTTCCCCATTTATAGATTATCTTTCACTTCTAAACCTACTATTTGAATGTTTAAGGATTTCTGTCTTTTGGACTTCCATCAAGTGAGTTTTTGTTTCTTCTTAATGTAATAACCACATGTATCCCATAATCACTTGACTGATAATCATAATAGAATCCCTGCTAAACCCCAAGTGCACAGTTTTCCTTTGACCTTGTTAATGAGTAAAGATTAACTCATTATCTTTACTCATTATGTGTTTGGGAACTTAGAGAGGACAGTGTTTTCATGTAGTTAGTAAGAATGAGGAATGTCTGTGGAGACTGGAGATAAGTGACATTTGTGACTGAGCAAGCAATGGTTGTTCTTTCATTAAATGTTGAGCTGTATCTAATTGGTGTGTGTGTGTGTGTGTGTGTGTGTGTGTGTGTGTGTGTTACTATAACTTTAACTAAAACATGTTAGTATGTTATAAGGATTATTCTACATGGGAGGAAAGCTAGCCAGGAGAGATTATGTTGTATGTCCAACCAAGGTCATGTGAAAATCTGTCAATGCACTTCACCTTTGTGGATATTTAGACACTTTTGAGAAGAATTATCAGATTAGAAGGAGAATCTAAAACTGAGGAATTTGTTTACCTTAGGCCAGGTAGAAAGGTTTCGTGATTTGATAAGTGCTGCAAATAAAGTACAAACACAATGAGTTAAAAGAGTAACCGTGATGGGATATGATCTCACCCACTAGTCACTCACTCTCATAAAGCTACATAAAACAATTTACAGCAACAGAACTTATAGGTGATATTCCTTTGTGTACTGCTCTGTCTATCCATCCATCTATCTATCTCTCTATCTCTCTATCTATCTATCTATTCTGTATATAATTGTTGCAGCTCATACTTCATTTGCAAATTTGCTGCCTCATTGAGGGAAGAGTACTGGGCTGAGTGACAAGAAAGCTTGTCTGGAATGTGTGAATCCTGTGCTCCAACTCCAACATTGTAATAAATGTGTTAATCAGTTAAATAAAACAATTTGGAGTTGTATGAATTAAGTTATTTCCAGTAAGTATCCCTTTTCAACAATTAGGATAATTACATGCATTTTCAGACGTCTGTTACATTACATATTATATATAAGTAGTGTATTACTTCAGGTCCTGCCAAAATGCTAAGTTAATATGGATGCATTGATAGATGGCAAGCAAGTAGAACATGTGCCCTGTATTCAGGCGAGTGGCTCGGAGAGCAGGTTTTGTTGGTTGTTCTTGCTGTCTACAGACAGAGAAAAGCTGTAGGAGAATGAAAGAAGATGGGCCTACCATAGTTCTGTTTCTATTTCAGGTGGTTTAAAAGTACTATAGAGTTTTGTAACTAGGAAAACTACTCCTAAATTGCAAAGTATGCCACAGAATTTAGGACCAGAAGTATAGCTAAATAATAGAGTATTTGCACAACATGTAAAGTGACCTGAGCTCACTGTTTGCCCTCATAGAAAGTAAAATACTACAAAAGTAAATAAAAATAATGGAATAAAATATTGAAAAAGTCATTTTTGGGATAGGCGAAATGCGTACATATATAACTCATGCACACACACACACAGAGCAGACATACAGAAGCAAAATCTGTAAGACATATTCAACTTAATTCATGATAAGAGTTATTTAAAATTATACTAAAAGCCATTTATCATCTATTACGCCAGCTGCTGTGAAAGAGGTGTTTCATTCCTTAATGATGATAATATAAAAGTATTATTTATACAAAGGAAGTTGTCAATATGGAACAAAGTTACATTTGAATTATTTTCATTTTAATGCATCATTCCCAATTCAATGAACTTCTTCTGAGGATATAGCTCCAATTGTGGGAGCCCACAAGTGACTCAGTTTCCATCTGGAGCCCATTCTGACTTGTAAGTCATTTGAGTTCAAGCTTGCTTGTTCCAGTCTCCTTGAGAGCTGTGAGAAAGTTCTGATTAAGCCTGCGGGAAGGATTGCATTATCTTAATATGCTGGCTGGTGAAGGCCAGGAGAAAAGACACATAGAGATAGGCGATGGAGCTGCTTGCTGCTAGCGGGACTCACATGATAGATAGCAAGCCCTCCTGCTCTGATTCAAGGACAGAGCAGGGAGCTGACTTACTGACTGCATTGCTCTTTTCATCTAGTCTGTATATAAGCAGGTTCTAAATTAAACTCAGGGCTGTCCAGTGTGCTGAAAGGCATGGATTGGGCAGTCCTCCTGAATCTATCCTGTATTTCTGTCTCTGTGTCTTTTATCTGCTGTTTCTCAATCCTCACACCCCTACTCAGGTGTCCTAGCTAACTCATTGGAGCAGGCTTCAACATTCAACAACACAAAACTCATATGCATAAGATTATTTATTGGAGAACTATTTGTTATTACGCACTAAAATGAAATACTCTCGTAGAACAGTTGCCAAATGGTTTGCTGCATCAACTCAGTGAAATTGTATATAACTGGGCAATAGAAAGGAAGTCTACTATGAACTATGATCCCAGGGACTTCCAAGAGTCGACACATTTGGGAAAAATAAGTTGTAAACAGACATCAATAGTATGCCATCTTTGCATAGGCAGTTAGAATGTAAGAGTGTGTAAATATTTTTATTTGGATAAAAATCAACACAGGAAGCCCAGAGAACTGAAAGCATGTGATTAGAGTAGAAACGATAGTGGAATAGGGCAATCCCATTTTGTTAATATTGATTTCATTAAAATTAATTTCAGATTGGAGATGGCAAAATACCCTAGGAAGTTCCAGCACCTGCCATGAAATCCTGAGGACTTGAGTTCAATCCCAGAGTACAGAGTGGAGGAGGGACTGAACTGACACACACACACACACACACACACACACACACACACACACACACACACCATATACAAATACTCACACAAGTAGACAAGGAATGGTTAATGATCTAAAGCCTCCAGGTGAGCAGAAAAACTCCTAACAGAAAAATTCAGACCCAAATGACATCCACAGGCATCTAGAGCTGGGAAACCTTGACAAGAAACTTAACATATAGGATAGAACTTCATCGAGAACTTACAGCCTGGGAATGCAGAAAGCAGACCTGAAGCTGGCATTTCCCACCCCAAAAGTTCCCTTCTCTGCCCTGTAAGACACTCAAGCCTTCTGCACCTTGGTGCACGGTTTCTTTTCCCATGTAGAGATGCCTGCCCTTCATTGTTCTTTTTTTTTGGTTTTTTGAGACAGGGTTTCTCTGTGGCTTTGGAGGCTGTCCAGGAACTAGCTCTTATAGACCAGGCTGGTCTCGAACTCACAAAGATCCGCCTGTCTCTGCATCCCAAGTGCTGGGATTAAAGGCGTGCACCACCAACGCCCGGCTCTTCATTATTCTAATAAAGGACAATCTGCCTCTGTAGAGAGATTGATCCCACAATTAATTTGGGTGTTTTTGATACAGTCTCTCTACGTGGTGCCTACTGCCCTGGAACTCACTATGTAGACTAGGCTGACCTCGAAATCACAGAGCTTACTCTGCCTCTTCCTTTGGAGTGCTAGGGTTAAAGGCCTGTGGAAATGTGCCTGGCATCCCTTTGTATTATTTTTAACCTATTTTACTCAATACTCATCTAACAACACTAAGAACAAATGTAAAGGAAACATTAAAAACAAAGTAAAAAACTTTAAATTTTTTCTGTGACTTTTTCTGACCCATGCATTATGCAGAAGCATATTATCTAGTTTTCTTTTTTACACTTTTTATTATATATTTAAATTAGAAACAAACGTGCTTCCCATGTCAGTCCCAGATCCCTCTCCCTCCTCTCCATGTCCACCCCCTCCTCCTGCCCCCCCCAGCTCCCCACCCAATCCCAATTCCATTCCCCAGGGAGGGTGAGGCCCTCCGTGGGGGTATCTCTGGAGTCTGTAATTTCATTCAGGGCAGAGCTCAGGCCATCCCTAAAGTGTCCAGATTGAGAAAGCATCCCTCATTGTTGGATGGGTCCCCAAAGTCCACTTGTGTGCCAGGGATAAATAATAATCTACTACCCCAAAACCCCAAAAATTGCCTGACTCTCCTCACTGACACCCACATTCAGGGTGTCTGGATCAGTCCCATGCGGGCCTCTCAGCCATCAGTCTGGGGTCCAAGATCTCCCCCTTGTTCAGGTCAGCTGTTTCTCTGGGATTCACCAGCCCAGTCTTGACCCCTTTTCTCATCACTCCTCCCTCTCTGTCACTGGGTTCCAGGAGTTCAGTATAGTTTTTAGCTGTGGGTGTCTACCTCTGCTTCCGTCTGTTACTGGATGGAGGTTCTAGGATGGTATTTAAGATAGTCGTCAAAATCATTATCAGGGAGGGGCATTTAAAGTAGTCTTTCCATTACTGCTTAGTTTTCAACTATTAGAGGACTTTTTAGAGGAACTTTTTGGAGTAAAAAATTTGTCTTTCATGATCCATTATATATTTACTCATTTGCTCAAACTTAAAATTTGCACAAAATAACTAACAGAGTTCACATTTTATCTTCTGTGGAAAAGAACTCCACAAATTAGAATTCAGTATTGTTCAAGTTTCTTGTCTATTGCTGTAACAAATATCCTGACCTCCCCCCCAAAAAAACCCCAAACTTTGGGAAGAAAGACTTTATTTGGAGCACAATTCTAAGTTTCAGTTAATCGTTTCCAAGACAACAAGGCAGGAAATCTCACAATGCAGTCACACCACATCAATAACCAAAATCAGAGAAAGAGTAAGTGCACCCTTGGTTGCTTGCCTTGCTCTCAGTCTTTCTCTTATACTTTTCAGGATGTCTTACCTAGGGAATTGTGCCACCCACAGTGGGCTGGGTCTCCTTACCTTAATTAGCAATCAAGATGCACAATGGCAAACCTGATGAAGATAGTTCCTCATTAAGCCTGCCTTCCCAGGTGGTTCTAAGCGTCAAGTTAAGACTTAGACTGACGAGTACACCCACAGAAACAACTAACCTGGGTCATAGAAACTCACAGAGCCTGAACCAACAACAAGGGGGCCTGCATGGGACCAACCTAAGCCTTCTGAATAAATGTGACAGTTGTGTACTTTCGTCTACTTGTGGGTGTTGATGTAAGGGAAATGGAAAACATTCTTTTCCTGTATTCATTAAAATCATTCACATAAAGAGACTGACCAGCACAAAAATACTTTAGAATGAAATTATTATCACTAAAATCCTATATTCAAGGATGATTTGGGTTAGTTTAATTATGTCCATTTTCAACAGAAAATGTCTCTATTGAAATGTTTTTTCTCACTGTTTCTGTTTGTTTTCACATATATGGTGTTTCCTTGATTTCCTTTTAAGAAAATTTAAAAATATATTTATTTATGTATTTATTTAAAATTACAAATGTATCTTCTGTGTGTCTGTGTGCAGGTGCATGCACATTTGTAGGTACAAATATGACACAGCGTGCATACGGAGACCAGAGGACAACTTAAAGGAGTTAATTCTCCTCTTCTACCATGGATCCTGGGAATCAAACTTAGGTCATATGACTTGATGACAAGCATCATTACCCATAAGCCATCTGGACATCCATCATGCTGGTTCTACTTATTTATTACTTAGTACTGGCAACAGCACACATGTGAAAGTCAGAGGACAACTTGCATAAGTCAGTTCTTCTACCATGTGAGTTATGGGTATTGAAGTTAGGTCATCAGCCATGGGATCAAAAATCCTCATCTAAGGAGCAGTCTCATACCCCCTGCCATGGCCATCATTAGTTAATTTCTTTGTAGGTGAGGTATAACACAGGTTCAAAAATAAAGACTGTAGAAATTAGCATAGCATTTTGCTGGCATAGGACTAGATAGATAATGAAACAGAATTAAAAACCCAACGATACAAAAAACTATGGAGAAATTGGTTTTAAAAAAAGAGTAACAGGGAAATCCTGTGGCAAAGAAAGGGGTATCTTTTCAACAAGTGATGCTGAGACAATTGGTACCCTATGTGGAAAAAATAGAACTGTGAAATACACATTACAGCATATAGAAAAACCAACTCCATGTAGATTCCAACATAAACAAAGTTCAATACATAAAAATCCCTGAATGAAACAATAAATGCCAAACATTAGGGATCTTAGAGGAAGCAAAGATTACCTAGATAATACATCACAAGCATAATCCATGAAAAGGAAAACTGGACTTCATCGAATTTCAAAATCTCTGGTCTTTGAAAGTCCTTAAGAACGCTCTAAAGCCTAACCATAGACTGATAAACATTTCCAAGAGATACCTGGCAGAGGGCTTATGATATAGACTGTGTTAAATCACTGGTTCTTATTGTGCAATTACTCAGACACACACCAACAGCATTCACACAAAATGCCCCGGCTCTTCATTGGCGTGTATCCCACTGTCATATTTCAAAGAAAATTTTAATTTCTCGTGGAAATGCACAATCTATTCTAGGAAAAGACATCATGTTCTCACAATGCATTACTTATAATGAGAACATTACAGTGTTCTTTGAACTAGAAAACTTGGTTTGGTTCCAAACCAAGAGCTGAGAAGAATTTACAATGGAGAAAACAAAGCTGATTTTCCCTCTTAGGGAAATATATTTTAATGGTATGTAGTTGGACTAACAAGCTCAACATTTTGTATTTTGGAAAAACACTCTGATACAAAGTAAAAAATGATTCTTTGCTTTCTCTATAGCTTTAAGAAAAATCAAATTTTACCTTCAAGATTGCTCACCTGAAAAGGCAACATGTGTCAAAGTAGAGAGCATCAGAGAAAGTGTGGTCACATGGTGCACACAGATGCTTCTTCTCATGTCTTCTGTGAAGATGAAGAAAATGCCAGTCACCTGAACAGATAACTTTTCAACATGAGAAAACTCAATTCCCTTGGGGATGCTTTATCAATACCAAGTTGGCCACAGTGGTCTCACATAGGCTCCAGGCTCACATGAAAGTTTCTTTGCTCTAAAGGCCAGGAAAACTATACCAACAACTCCTACCTCCTGTTCCCTCCCTTTACTGTGTGTGTATGAAATGACATCCTGTCTAGAATAGAAATTAGGTTCAAGACTTTCCAAATCTATATCATGAGCTTAAGCCATTATTCATTCCATTTCTTCTCAAAATTGTAACCAGTGGTACACAAAGAACTGAGACCCATAATAAGTGAAATTCTCTATTTTCACATGCAGAGAAAACAAAAGGAAAGTGTTGGAGGAAAATAAAATAAACCTAACAAACAATGACAACCATAGATGGAAAGAAGGGATCTGAGACACGGGGAAACTAGAAGAATCACCACTGACTTTGTTTGACTAAGGATACATGAAATGAAAAGAAGTTACCTGAATGAACTTTCTGTTGTTAACTTGAAGTTACTGTTAGCATCAGACAGAGATGGCTAGGGGGCTGTGTAGCCACAGGGGTGGGTTCCCTGCTCAGTTGAATGACCACAAACTTGGCATGATTTTACTTGCAAGACTGTTTCTGATTTTGATCCTCTTTCAAGCCACCCCCTCTGATGTTTCATGCTTCAGCAGGCAAGGCCAGACCTGGAGGATCTGTGCTGTGCTTTCTGGTTATGAAACATAGGAAATAAAAGCATCTTAAATATCTAATGTTTGCAAAGTAGATTAATGACCTGTTGCATTCCAGGCTATTTGATAAATATTCTTGCCAAATCACAGACTGTTCCCAGTCTTCCCACATTACTGTCTTTGCTTCTTAAAAGTATTACCTGTTTTATATTCAAATTTTGTTTTTTGTTCTCTCTCTGCTAGCCCAAGAAACCCTAATATTTTATAATCAATAACATGTCCAGTGTTACTCTTCCAATTCCTGTATTTGTTGTTCTTGACAATACCTCAAGATAGGCAATCTGGACAGCTGATCTTTATCTGAAAAAAATCTCCTCATACTTTAAGCTTTTCTAATGTCATTGGAACTTTTTGTTGTTTTGCATCCTGGATGTATCAATGTCCCATAGTCTGACATAGGTGGTCCCCTGATGGGTCCATCAATCTTTTGAGATCTTGCTATATTTTTTTGTTTTTGTAAATTGGTGTAAATTCAACTCTGATTTTTGTCAGACATTAACATACTGAACTTGATGACCCACTTTGTTAGAGATTCCCTAGGAAGCCTCTCATTTAATGCCATATTGCTGTTATGCTGCCTAACATACCTCATTTTCTTTCTTTTCTCCATTCCATCTGCACTGCTCTGAGCAGAAAATGTCACCTTTTTTATCACTGAATGAACGAACAACATAAGGACACATGATCTACAGCCCTACTCTTCTTCCATCATGCCATCAAGTATTTTTCTTCTGTTTCCATCCTTCACCTTGCACTGGTTAGCATGGGGCTCTGCTAGTTCATTGTTCCTCATCGTTCTTCCATTCTTCTTATAAGTTCTTTAAGAGTTTTGCACTTTATACAACACGTTTTGATCATATGTGCTTTCCTTTACCAATTCTTCCCAAATCTACCTTATTCCCTCCCCAGCCAACTTTATTTCCATTTTCAACCCTTCAGTACAAAATTTTGCCATCCAAATATTCCTGGATATGTCGTTCTCCCCCCCCCCCACTGAAATGTGCTTGACTTATCAGAGGTACACTCTTAGGAAAAAAAACCTACTTTTCCCTTTCCCACTAGTTAGCAATTGCCATTTTCTCCATGGCTCAGGGTTGGATAGTGTGAACAACTCTCCATGATGGTATTTTGTTTGGCTTGGGCTTGCACAGATTTTGTGCATGCTGTCAAATTGCTGTGAGTTTGTATGTCTAGCTGCCTTTCTGTGTCCAAAAAATGTTTCCTTTTAGTCATCCATCACCTTTTCTATCCCCTCTTCTGATAAGTTACCTGATTATTAGAAGAAGATGTAGAGTATCTATGTGCCATTTAGGGCTGAGAGTTATGTAGCCTCTTATTCTCTATTCTTTCCATGTTGGCCTTGTGAGTCTCTATGTTAATATCATCTACTACAAGCAGAAGTTTCTCAGATGAGTACTAAGAGATTCACTGCTTTATGCATAATAATATGTCAATAAGAGTAAGTTTAATACTATCCCCATTTAGTAGTATAATAGTATCGGTCTCTCCCTTAAGGCCTATAACCTTTCTAAACATAGGTTCTTGGCCCAATATTTGTGCCACATATGGGTTTTGTTTTGTGGAGTATGATTTAAATCTAATTAGAAAATGGTTGGTTACCCCAAAATTCTCCGGCCACTATTGTACCAGTGGTCACTTCTTGCCAAACTGTATTCATTATTGTAACTAACAGGGCTTACAGCAAGGTGTGAATAATGATTATTTCTATTCTGGTAGTTGTCATAGCATCTTCCAAACCTATGAAAGTCATCTCATAGGGAGGAAGCTTCCAGGTCTATACCAGAATTATTTTACCGTGAGCTCATTACTTAAGCAGGTGGTATCTTCAACCATGTCTTAATGTCACATTCTGAAGGGTAACCAAGAACAATTGCAATCGCTTGTAATTTTTTTGGAGAGTGGTCTATAGGACCTTCTTGACCAACAACTCCAATAGAAGTAACCCATTCCTGGAAGTAAGATTTTTAAATATTAGCTTCTGGTGTTATCTTCAGGTGTTGTAGATTTCCATGTGTCATTTCTGAAAGGTCTTAGTGTTATTTATCCCTTGCCATATTCCCTCTTTCATCCTACTTGCTGCTCTGGGTATTCCTAAGTCTTCTTATTCCATTACTTAATTTTTTACCTTTTATACAAGTGATCTCTGTTGGCAGACTTTACTTCCCCACTTGCTAGTTCCCATATAACCAATATGGAGACTTAATATTAATTGTAAGTGCTTGGCCAATGGTTCAGGCTTGTTACTAGCTAACTCTTACATTTTAAATTAACCCATATTTCTTATCTAGCCTCTGCCATGTGGCTCATGGCTTGTTACCTCATTTTTTACATGTTCTGCTTCCTTTGTGTCTGCTGGCATCTCCTCTTACTCTACCCTCCTTCTTCCCAGTGTCCTTTCTTTGCTTGTCCTAGCTATACTTCATGCTTGTCAACCAACCAATCAACTTTTTATTAAATCAATTCAAGTGACAAATCTTCACAGCATACAAAGGATTATTCCACAGAAGATCTCTAACTCTCCTACCTTCAAAGTCCCTCCCATGGCCCCTTAGTTATTACCTCTGTAGGTATTCCAAGTCAAGCAAACATATTTGAAGATTCAATACAGAATCTTCAAATGAGAGAAAATATGGAATGCTTGTTTTCTTGGGTCTGGGTTACCTCACTCAGAAAGACTGCTTTCAGATCCATCTACTTACCTACAAATTTCATAATCCATTTTTTAAATAGTTGAGCAATATCCCACTGTGCAAATATATTACATTCTCATTATCCATTCATCAGTTAATGGAAATCTAGATTGTTTTCACTTTCTGGCTATTATGCATAGAGAGGCAAAGAATATGAATGAACAGGTATCTATATAGTAGAATATGGAGTTTTTTGGATATATACCAAAGAGTAGTATAGCTGGATAATTTGATAGATACAGTTTTACCTTTTTATGGAACCTCTGTATGGTTTCCATAATCAATACATGAATTTGCTTTCCCATCAGCAGTGAATGCATATTCCCTTTTGTCACATTCATTCCTGCATTTGTGATTATTTGTAGTTTTGGCCTTAACCTTTATTACTGTGATAAAAAGGAATCTCAAAGTATTTTTAATTTGTATTTCCTTGATGGCAAAGTAGGATGAACAGTTTTAAAGTGTTTTTCTTGAGTATATTTGCACCAGTGTTCATGAGGGATATTGGTCTGTAGTTCTCTTTCTTAGTTGTGTCATTGTGTAGTTTGAGTACCAAGGCAACTGTAGCCTCGTAAAAAGTGTTTGGCAATGACTCTTATGCTTCTATTGTGTGGAACAATTTGAGGAGTATTGCTACTTTGAATTTCTGGTAGAATTCTGCCCTAAAACCCTCTTGCCCTGGGCTTATTTTGGTTGGGAGACTTTGTATGGTTGCTTCTATTTCATTGGGGGTTGGTTATAGGTCTATTTAAATTGCTTATTTATTCTTGATTTGATTTTGGTAAAAGATATCTATCCAGAAAATCATCCATTTCCTTTAACATTTCCAGTTTTGGGGAATACAGGTTTTCAAAGTATGACCTGATGATTCTCTGGATTTCCTTCGTGTCTGTTGTTATGTCCCCCTTTTAATTTCTGATTTTGTTAGTTTGCATGTTCTCTGTCTGCCTTTTGGTTAGGCTGGATAAAGATTATCTAGCTTGTTGATTTTTCTTAAATAACCAACTTTTTCTTTCATTGATTCTTTGTATTGTTTTCTTTGTTTAATTGATTTTTATATTGTTTTCTTTGTTTCTAGTTTATTGATTTCAGTCCTCAATTTGATTATTTCCTGGTGTTACTCCTCCTGGGTGAGTTTGCTTCTTTTTGTTCTAGAGCTTTCAGGTGTTAATTCTCTAGTGTAACTATTCTCTACTTTCTTCACATGGGCACTTAGTGCTATGAACATTCCTCTCCGTACTGCTTTCAAAGTGTCCCATAAGTTTGGGTATGCTGTTCTTCATTTTGATTGAATTCTAGGAAGTCTTTAATTTCCTTCTTTATTTCTTCCTTGAGTGATGCAATTGAGCATTACTCAATTTCCATGAGTTTGTAGTGTTTCTGAAATTGTGTTGTTGTCGAATTCTAACTTTAAACCATGGTTATCTGATAAGATATAGGGGGTTAATGCAACTTTTTTTGTATTTGTTGAGGTTTGCTTTGTTGCCAAGTATGTGGTTGATTTTA